CACAATTCATTTAATGCTGAAACATTTAAGTTCAGTATAAACGATTTACATTCTCAAAAAATAGTTTTCTTTATCACTTTATGTAGAAGAAGGTATAAACTTTTCCAAAGCCTCTTTGCCCTAAAAATGAACACAGCCTTTTTTAGCCAGCAAGAAAAATATGCGTGGTCGTTCGTATACTAGACGGAATGTACACATTACACTGGGATCAGAAGGGCGAAGGGCGGCAGTAAAAATAAATCATGGCCGATCTGGGATCCGACAAATAAATAATAGTGGACCATTGGAACCGTGACGGCCAATATTTGTTTTGTATAGGTTATACAGCAAACAACGATACAGGTTGAAGAATGAGTCTGGAAAAGTTATTTGATTAATTCTTTATTAGTTTCTGTGGCTGTGTTTGCTTCGGGGGTCTACTCTGTTAAATGAACGTGGTAAAGTATTTAGCACTAGCTTTCGCACGCGGTAAATTTATAATTAAGTTATCGTTCTGTAGCAGAACGTTTTCAGCGCGAATCGTGATGAAACGAGATTATAGACTCTTTACTTCTTTTCAAAAGTAAAAATATGAATTTTCATAATAACTCTACTATGAAAAACAATAAGGCTGGGTTGCACCAATTTACTTTAACTTTGACAAACGTCAAAAATCAAATATGGAGATCAAAAAATTCTGTCATTTTTGACGTTTAAAGCACCGGTACTACCCGTTCGCGCTAAGTTTGCCGGTCCGTGGAATGCGCGTCCCCTCCCCCAACCGCGTTTAAACGCAATTAGTTAGTGATTAAACGCAATTAATGTGTCTTATTTTACGCAAATAAACAATTTTTATCAATAATTAATAAATACAAAATATTTTCAATATAGTTTGCTATAGTTATAGACGCTTCCCTTCGAGTGACGTCATATCGCCAGCGGCAAACTTATCGCGAACGGATAGTAATCGTCGTAGTTACCGTTAAAGTTAGGTGTAAGTAGTTCCGGCATGAAAACGTATCATACAGACAATTAAATTGACCTAATATTTAATAATAGCGATTGGTAAAATAGACCCCCAGCTAGTGTTTATAAACGGGAACTGGGAAATTAATATCGAATGAATCTTTTTTATAGCAAACTAATATTGATAAAGCAATAACATTCGTATTGGATTCAGATTTTCTGTGAGTAATGACTTCCTGTGATTTTTCTTAAATTAATATTGTGTGAAGATGATGACTGAAAAAGATACGCAAAATCTAATCAAAATTTTAGGTGGTCGATTCAGGTAGCCTAAAGAATTAGCAAGCTTAAGTATAAGTTTAGTAACAATGGGCTGTTCAGGTTTAACTTTGTCGTAGAAATGTTGGAGTCTACAAGCTCTGAAGTGGAATTTCGTCTTGGAAAACGCAGAGTGGGACCACTTCCCTTGGCTGTGTCCTCATCCCAGCTAGATGGAGTTATGATATAAGTATGAGTTGGTATCATGAAACTATAATACGATGAATAGGGCTCAATAGCGAGTATTTGGATAGGTCTATGTCCAGCAGTAAACTTATAGGCTGATAATGAAAATTATGCATACATAAGCCTTTCTCAGGAATCAAAGTATGTTCAATCAGTAAATTGATAAGCTCATGTATCACAAAATAAATCACTTTCTTACATCATTGTCTAAATCGTTCAAGGAAAAGTGCAAAAGGCGGTAAGTAAAGTTGACTCGACTCGGATGAGCCGAACTTCTTGTTCAAATCCCCAAAGCAAATGTTGGATCATACAACCCCAAAGTAAATATAAGTCAACACTCGATACTTCTGCGATCGATTATTAAAATTGGATCGCGGACTGTGTCAGATTGAATTTGCTTAAGAAGATTTTCAATCCGAAGAAATTCCAACAATACTTTGGGCTCTTTTGGTGTGGAGGACGTGGGTAAGATTACTAGCTAAGTATAAAGATTTTGAAGAATAGTCAAAATTGCTTCGTGAACTAAGTTAGCAGGGTTAAGGCCTTGTCCAAGAGGGCGAATCCGAGCATATGTATGACGAGATTTGCGCGCTCAACTCGCGCGTGTTTTGTGGACGCAATGTATTGGCTGCTAGTATTTCGCCAACGCGCGTAGAATCATACGCGCATAGGAATTGCGGCGAATTCGCCCTTCTGGACAGGGCCTAGGTGTAAGAGTAGCACAATCGTGCAGCACGATAAAAATGACGGGTTAATTTACTCATAGTAACAAACTATAACCTGATTCGTTGCCATTGGACAAAATGCTTTGGGCAAAAGAAAACGATATGAAAAAATACCAGGAATGGACAGTGAGACTTAAGAAGTTAAGTAACTGTGAAATGTTATTATCACTCGAAATATCCAGTAACCTAATTTTGTGGCGATTTCAGAACCGTATTTTCGACGGATCAGCGACAAAGTCGCAGAAAAATTGGCGATTTATCCAAGATTTATACCAAATCCCTGACATTTTTCCAGTGATATGATCTATTTTGAGAATATTCTAGTAGTAGTCAGACTTATACTCAGTGGCACGAAAATCTGAATCTAGATATTTAGGCCAGTAGAATTAAACACAAAAATTTATTAAATCGGAAATAATTCGTACAAAATATTTGTTTGCTTTAATGGCTTCATTGGTTGCCCATTAAGACTCTCCTAAGTTTTCGACTTCGACGGAGTTGTGCTTAAGTGGTGGGGGCCCCCGAAAGGGGCGTTTTTTCGGTTTTCCGGTTATACCGCGTAAAGGACTTACACTATCGAAAAGTGGTCTTCGTGACGGTTAAAGGGCACTTAATCCTGCATTGAATAAGATCAAATTCATATGTTTTGGACAAACCGTTCTCGCGCTAAAGTTCGGCAAAGTAGAAAATATACGTATAATTAATGACCCTCTCCACGTCCAATGGCTTGATACCCACATGCTTCCAAGCCTTGTAAAGGGTCGCCTTAACCAGTGTAACCCTAACAAGGCTCACGAGTTTGATTCGCTTATCCTTGTTCGTCCCAGCCTTTCCTTAACTGCGGTTGCTGCACCTCTTCCTGGCACTCTCCTGAACGACTCTGTGTTACCTAATGTAGCTGCCCCTCTTCCTTGTACCCTCCTGTACGATTTCATTGCTTAGCCATATGCCTGGTCCAAGGTTCGACGCCACAAAATCAACTTCGTACGAGTGAAAATAGTTTAAATACTATTTCCCGTGCTTGCAACATTTTTCTTTACTGCTTCGCCTCTATTAGTCGTAGAGTGATTGTATATATCCTATAGCCTTCCTCAATGTATGAGCTATTCAACACAAAAATAATGATTTCAATCAAACTAGTAATTCTTAAGATTAGCGCGTTCAAACAAACAAACAAAAAACTCTTCAGCGTTTTAATATGAACTTGTTGTTGTTGATTTTTGGCGTCGAACCTTAGACCAGGCATACGGCTAGGCAACGTAGTCATGCAGGAGGATACAAGGAAGAGGGGCAGCCACAGTAGGTAACACAGAGTCGTTCAGGTGAGTGCCAGGAAGAGGTGCAGCAACCGCAGTTAAGGAACGGCTGGGACGAACAAGGATAGGCGCATCAAGCTCGTAAGCCTTGATAGGGTTACACTGGTTGAGGTGGCCCTTTTCAAGAATTGGAAGCCTGTGGGTAACAAACCATTGGACGTGGAGAGGGTCATTAATTATACGTATATTTTCTACTTTGCCGAACTATAGCGCGAGAATGGTTTGTCCAAAACATATGAATTTGGTCTTATTCAATGCAGGATTAAGTGCCCTTCAAAAGACATGAAGACCACTTTTTGATAGGGTAAGTCCTTTACGCGGTATAACCGGAAAACCGAAAAAATGCCTATTTCGGGGGCCCCCACCACTTAAGCACAACTCCGTCGAAGTCGAAAACTTAGGAGAGTCTTAATGGGCAACCAATGAAGCCATTAAAACAATCAAATCTTTTGTAGGAATTATTTCCGATTTAAAAGCTAATTCTACTGGACTAATTACTCGTCATACAATAAGTTTGTATGACGTCATAGTCAATTAGCACAAAGTGTCACTTCAACTATTCTAATCAATTACTCCAAGTTAAATATTTTCCTAAGAAACTAAAAAAGGTGACAGTAACCCAATGGTTTCGATGTCGGACTGAGATTCAACGGTCAGTAGTTCGATCTCTGTAGACTGCTGGATGAAATTAGTAATTAGTGCAGTACCTACAAAAAATCTATAAATACATTTAGGAGAGAATAAAGTCATAAGCATCGATAATCACTTCACTAATTAGTCACATAAATTGACTGACAACAGATATTTGAGCAATGAAGTCAAATTATGTCCAATAATATGCAAATACTCATAATTTCCATATTCATAATCTGGTATGGAATCATTGTTTTAGTGAATAGGAATTTTAATAGAATCAATTTTCATTTGAACCGAGATTTGCTTTCAAATAATAATTTGGTAACTAGGTAATAGTTTTGAACACAAAGAGTTTCATAAATACCAGTAAATTACGAACCGCGATATAATAGATACCTAAACTGTAATTTGAATTGTTTTTGTAGGTTCTCATACTACATTATTCGTTTAAACTAAGAAGATGCAGGTTTATTTATTAAAGTATTGAACAGTAATTTTTATTACGAGAACGAGAATTTCTTACGCGCTGCTACTGGACGAAATTACACTGGCGTTATTTTTGAATTATTTAGAACGTGTAAAGTACCTACCTACTTTCAAAGTCCAAAATTATCCTTTCCTATAATAGAAAAAAAGCCTGTCAATTCAAATTCAAATTATTTATTGCATGTCACATGGGTAAGGGTTGACAAGAACATAATATTTTATATGTGACGCCCAGTGAAGGCGTTGCAAAAACTTAAAAATAACATTAAAATAGATAATAATTTGTCAAACTAAAATTAAATTAATTAAACATTAAAATTATAAAATTAAATATTATAAAAGTATAATATTCAGACATTATTATTATTATTGTATAAATGTATGGTGAGGTGAGTAGTTCGCAGCAGAAGGCAATGAAACGCAGGAATCTTGAATATTCGATGTAATGCGGGTTTACAATGAAAGTAGGTATTTGATAGGTATAATAGACACAAACTCGACGCGCCCGCGTCGCGCTCTGAGACCCGAATGGGGGGCGGGCAGCGCCGCGCCGCTCTGCAGCTTGGGCTCCTCGAACCGGTCGCGGCGATGCGTCTGTGTGCGTGCGCGCTGACACAGACGCCTTAACATACTGCCGCCCTTGGAACGTCTGGTTCCAATGTTGGTAAAGGGCAGAGCCTGTTGTAGGCTCTCCTCATTGTTCCTGATGAAGTGTAGACGTGGGCCACACGGTTGACACCGTCGGCGCCGGGGAAGACAGCAGTGACTCGACCCAGCAGCCATCGGTTGGGGGGCAGGCGGTCATCTTTGATCAGAACCATCTCTCCTATTTGTGGTTGACCGCCATCTCTGCGCCATTTACTTCGCTTCTGTAATTCTGAAATATACTCCATATAATAGCGGTTCCAAAAGTGGTGCTTCAGCGATTGTGTTCTTGCATATCTTGAGAGAGTGTTGATGTGAGCATCTTGTACCTGGGGAGCAGGCAACATCGTTACTGTTCGTCCAATCAAAAAATGCGCAGGAGTTAAAGGGATTAGATCTGAAGGATCATTAGAGAGAGGAGTGAGAGGCCTTGAATTTAATATAGCTTCAATTTCTACCAATACTGAGTTGAGTTCTTCATAATCAAGATGAGTTAGTGACAATACTCTCTTTAAGTGATATTTTATTGATTTTACTGATCCCTCGGCTAAGCCATTGAAGTGGGGACTATATGCTGGGCAAAACTTGAAAATAATTCCCTTCTCAGCTGAATATGTAATTATACTATGTATTTCGATGAACTTCCCAATCGCGTACTGTTGCTGGGTCTAACTTGTTAGATACAATGTGTATGACTAGAATGTCCCAATGCTCTGTAGGTACTTTTAATGTTTTTAGGGATCGTAGATTCTTGTTTACGATATCTATGATGTTACGTAAGGCCCTTGCAGATTCTTTAGTAACAAAGTCAATATTGAACAGAGCTTGAACATGATTATTAATTAAAATGCGATTGTTATTGTAACGGTCGCACAAGAGATCCCAAGCAACATTATAATTTTCTGATGAAAAATCTAAAGATTGAATAATAAGAGCAGCATTATCCCTTAAAGATGCTCGTAAATAATGAAATTTGTGTATGTTAGATATTGATGAGTTTGTGTGGATTAGTGATGTGTATGTTTCGTGAAATTCTAACCAGTCCTGATAGCGTCCAGTGAAAATAGGTAAGTCAATTGTTGGTAACTTAATGTTTGGTACAGCACTTGCCACCTCCGAGCCTGGCACCGACGCGAAGTCAGCCCCAGAAGCAGGCCCGACCGTCGCGTGTCTGCTCAGCAGCTCCTGAGCCGCTGCGATGGCACCAAAGTAAGCTCGTTCGAAGGTCTCGCGTTCGGCAAACTCGTCACCTGGAATTTCGAGTGCATTTTCTATTTGAGTTTGAATGCTATCGAACTCATCGTATAATGCTTGGATTTTCGCTAAGCGAATGTTTGTTTCGTGAATTTGTAAGGCATTTAAGTCTTTGCAAGCAAGAAGTGGTTCAAGATATGATTTGAAAATAGTTAACTTTGATTTCTGAGATGCTCTAGTGCGTTTTAATGATTTTAAATCTTCCATTATGTAAATAATAAAGGCAACTGTGCAAATGAAGAAAGGTTAGAAGAGAATTTTACCAATGTTTCGCCAGCTAGTGAAGAAAAAGAATTATTTCCTTTATAAAAAGGCGTGAAGAAAAAACAAATAAAGAGAGAAGCTTTTGGAATGATACTTAAAATGAAAATGAAGTGAAAGAAGCGTGTAGAAGCTATGCGAAGCGTGCACGGCACGCGCCACGTGCTTGAGCCACCGCGAGCGCGGCTGTGACCTTTGGACTGCCGAGCGCCGGCAGCCACGCCAGCATGCGCGGGCTCGAGCGTTCCGCCACGCTCGGGCAATATAACTGTAATGTACACAAAATTCACTTGATTATAATGCAAAAACAATAATCTCGACTTGGTGCTTGGTAGAAATGGAAGCAAATCAAATGTTTAAGTGCCTCTGAAAGTTTGGAATGCAATATAATTTAGTAAATACGTAGGCACTATTCTGTTTAGAATATTAAAGGAACGTTACTTTGTGAAAATATTACGATAAAATGTCAGAAGTAGGTAATTAATTTTAAAAATATTAAATTGATAATTGTTAGAATAATACTTGGACAGGTAAAATAATCACTTCACTGATTTAGAAAGTAAAAGTGAGAAGAGGAAATGCGGTTGTGATTGGAACGAACTCACGAATATGAACTGCAGGCCCCTTTTCAGGGTTTTGATGAAATAATCCGGTACTGGCGCCTCGGATTGTCTTGAATAATCGCCACTGTAGACGTCACCGTTGTTCAAGTTTGAAATATTCCCGTTTCAAATTGCCACGGATCGCTGCCACGTTCGCTGTCTGCTACGCCCTTGATTTCACCTCGCCGCTGCGTGTTCTGCTCGTGCTCGCCAAGCGGAATTTTATTCCGCTCGAAATTCGTAATCCGGCTCGAAGTTGTATGGTGAGGTGAGTAGGTCGCAGCAGAAGGCAATGAAACGCAGGAATCTTGAATATTGGATGTAATGCGGGTTTACAATGAAAGTAGGTATTTGATAAGTATAATAGACACAAAATCGATGCGCCCGCGTCGCGATCTGAGACCCGAATGGGGGGCGGGCAGCGCCGCGCCGCTCTGCAGCTTGGGCTCCTCGAACCGGTCGCGGCGATGCGTCTGTGTGCGTGCGCGCTGACACAGACGCCTTAACAATAAACAAAGACAGACCATTACATAATATTTTCATTAAAAATTCAGTCTAACCCATCAATCGATCAACATGTTGAAAGACTCAATAAACATACAAACTGTTACAGCACAAGGATCAAGTACCTATCTAGTTCCCCAAAATCTAATCTTATCTAAGTAACTTCTTCAAGATTGAAGATAGTGATGGGCTATCAGATTAACAGATATAATATAATAGTTGCCAACCCATCAGTATTTCCATCCAAACGGCATTAACAAACCTTTCGAGTAAAAATCCATTTCCGCTCCCCAAAAAGTTGCTGCCCATTCGCTAATCCGTATAATCTCTGAAATTCTGCGGAATAATCCTTAACATTCTGCGAAATGACGTCAAATTTGGCAGAACTGCGCCCGCTGCCAATAAGGGTGCTGTTAAAATTGTAATCCTCGTGATATCGTTTATTGTTGAGCTGTTTTATCAACAAACGCGTTCCGAGATTGGACGTGAACTTTTACTGTAATGGATATTGCATCGCGGCTGTGGGTACGCACGTTTGCGACTTTTAAATTAACAGGCGCCGAAAATGAAATAAAAAGTTTGGACAGAATTGTGTAGTTCACAAACTTCTTTGTTGTATCATTGTAGTACTGATAATTATCTACGTATAGGTACGTAATACGTAATACACAATGAGAATAGCATGTAAGCTGGGGGATACTGAAGAATGCCGAACTATGTAGACATACTCAGACCAGTAATAATAGCTGTTAATTTTCTAGGGTTTGTAACAGTGAAGTGGTTACTAAGCAAAAGTAGAACGGCATACAAATTAATTATTAAAATAAAAGTATTTGATACATAAACTAAACAGTATTAATGTGATCATTCATACTCTGCAAACATCAATTTGGCCGTGGGACTAAAATCTGGAACCACTGTTTCTGAAACAACAGAACCTAAAAATTAAAAAAAAGTATGTCGTTAAACATACTTATACAGAAAATATTTTAAAAAATCTCTAACGTGCGCCCCTAGCACAGAGTAATACAATCATTTGGATTGGGTTGCGCTGGATTCCCTTGATTAATTAATATTGAGCAAACTATTAATTCAGTTGGTAAATAATTGACTACTCTGTATGGAACCCACAAACTAAATATTTCTATCAACGAGCACGTTTAATTTAAACTTAATGAAAGAAAACAACGCGTTGGCGAGATTAAATTTGTTATTTAACACTTGCTCAATGTATTGCAGTAAGAATTTGCATTTAAATCCATCTGAATTTCTCGAAATTAAAACATAATTTAACACCTACTTGATGAAATATGGATACAAAATGGAGTGTGCTGTGTGAGTATGAACAAACATTCAATAAAGGTACTTACTTAAATTAAATGAGGTATTCCTCAAAGTGCATCCTTTTTGAGCGTGACCTAACGATGCGCATCTAAACTATTATAGTAACCGCACTTAAGTTAAGTATGATGAATACCAAGTATTTCAGGGCAACATAATTATAGGTCTGAGGAATAATTTATGTGCTCTTCATTTAGCGTGCTTCAAAATAAGTGCGCTTCGAGAAATACCTCAAGAACATAAAATATTATTCTTAAGTGATGCGCGCATCTACGAATAAATAATTGCCTACATACTTCCACCCAAATTCATGGAAAAATGTGTATTATTTCCCCAGAATTTATATCGTATCCCGAAGTCCTTAGGGAGAAATAATGTACCCGCCACTTCGGGCACATTCATCTTGATTATGGAGTCCTGATCCTTTGACATTTACAACCTTAGCTAGCTTTTTTATTTTGGCATCAGCTATTTCTATTTCTTATGTATAAGACAATGTACTTAGTGCCAATTAGTAAAGTACCTAACTGACACTTTTATTTCTCTATAGACGATATTTCAGTAGTACCTACCTAATAAAGTAATTTTTCGTAAAAGTAAATTTCCCTTTACCCTATTTTGTCACATCTAAGACCTTTATGGCCTAGCTAGCTAGTGGTTTGTCTTTGCATATAACAAACAATACATCGTTAACTGCGGTTGCGAGTTCGAAACCTACTCGTATAAAACAAAACTTTACACTTGAGTCCTACTAGTTGTCATAATACAAGTTCACATTCACATTGTAAAAATAACGTTATACTTTCTACGATATCATTACAACCCTGCACAACTATTTATAGCTAGCTACCTACTAAGTTTCCTTTCTACAATCCGTTCTATGTTAGTCGCACGGAATACTGGGTGTGCAAAATGTCCGCACCAGAACATAGTTCAAATAATCTTTATTTCCTGAAAGTCTGCTCCCGCATGAGGTTCTTTGACTGCTGTATGCGGTTACCCGCGTGCCATTCTCAACTTGGAATGTAAGATATAAGATGAAGCGATCAACTGTTACTACAATTTATTTTAGTAAGTTGTAACAATCTATTGCTGACGTGGATTGATGATAAGATTGAAATTGCTATTATATTAGATTACGTTGATTTATTATTATTTTAGACCTTAAAAACGATACTTTAGGTAGCATAAATTACTATTTACTTGATCAGTATAGTTGTAAGCTGCACTGCACAATACGCGCCATATTAACCACCCTATATTTAAGCCAAACTATAGTGTCGCTCATACGGAAGGCAAACCTTGGAGTAAAGCCTTAAAATTTAGTTTTGACTGGCTTATGATGACTGATTGTTGAAGTACTGAGAATTTGAAACATACGTGGGAAGGGATGAGAAAAACAGTCACCAAAATTTAATAATACCTACGCCAGAAGCTTATGACTTGCATTAAAACTGCATTTGGAACCAATGGCTCGGGTCCTTTGTCTCGCTCTAAGTCCACAGCCACGACCCGCGCAAGTGATCATCCCCCGGCTTTGCTTAAAAGATTCTTATACTTAGTTCACGCTTCTAAAGTTCCCGTACGTGCTTTGTTTCTGTTGTAATTTCCATGGGAGGTTTGGGTTTCAAAATGTATGCGTGAAAAATAAAATTATGTTTCCTTCGTTTTAAACAATCATCATCATTTTGGCCATAGGACGTTCTTCCCCCCCAATGATTTCCAGATTAATCGGTTGGAGCCAGCGCCTTCCTGCTACTTTGATGAGGTCGTCGGTCGTCACCTTGTAGGTGGACGTCCCACTTTACGCTTTCCGGTACGTGGCCCACATTCCAGAAGTTTGCTACCCCATCATGTATGTCAGTAATTATTAACCTATGCAATAATTATAATGCATTTATAGCGTTAATTCACCAGCTTAACTACAGTATGTAATTTATGGTGTTACTGACAAAGTCTGCGTCTTAGGCCCATTTACCTTCGGGGTCAGTATGACGTGGTAATTTTGGGGCAACCTGTTTAGAGGGTAATAATTTATGGTGCATTCGCCAGCTTACAAGATGTAACAGCTGATCTAACCTACCATAAATTTTAATAATCCTTTATTATAAACACATCAGACTTATACTTCTTAAAAAATAGCACCAATTATAAGTAGGTACCTGTTTAAAATACCACCATAAGCTTGATGAGCTTAGTGGACGAAAGCGAACGCTCGCCACCAAATTATTCGCCATAAGCTTGCAGCTTATGGAACTGCATTTGAACCAATTGGGTCCTTTGTCTCGCTAAGTCCACACGACAACCGCGCACGTGATCATCCCCCGATTTTGCTTAAAAGATTCTTTACAGTCTACGAACTGAGACGTGAATCCGTACGTGAGCTCAGCTCTTTTAGCTGTTCTGTTACAATTTCCAAGGAGGCAATTGCAGTTTTCCTATCGGAGAATGCCTCGTAACGAGTAATGGTACCCTTTTAGTAGGTTGGTTGGACCAGTGGTGAGGACTGTCGACCTGATGGTCCCAGGTGGGATGCTCAGCAGTACACAAAGCGGTGAAGAGACAATTGCTTTGATCAAATCATTAAATACCCATTTTTACTGGCTGACTTGTCAACCTATAACTAAAACTCTTTTTGGGACAGTCCATCAAAAAAAAGTATTTTTGGTTGTTAAAGTTTGCTAATTACTTCAATACCTTATCAGTTTTGTAGAATAAAGTAAATCTATAATTTAAAAATGCATAGCAAAATGTGTTGGTAAGCACATAACTCAACAACGCCTGGACCAATTTTACCAATTCTTTTTAAATGTTCGTTGAAGTCCAAGGATGGTTTTTACGACGAGAAAAATTTAGATCAATTAAAAAAACTCGGATCTTCACCCCTAAGTCGCGGGCGGCCGCTAGTAAGTAAATAAAAATTTATAAAGGTATTTTCATCTAAAACTATTTCAAATGTTCAATCTGGCTTATTCTTAAAAAAGGAGTTCCGTCGCAATTCGCTTTGTGGCGCCTAACGATCGCCATTGTGCAGCCGCACTCGCCGGATTCAAACCCGCACCTAGTAGCTCAGCTCCACAAATAAGAGAAAAACTTTGATTGATCCGCAAACCGTGCCAACCTTTTATGTGTCTGAGTAAGGAAAGTGTTATAATTTCGTTTCCCGTTAACAATTGTTAGTTTGGAATCAAAATCTACTTACTACCTTTTCACTAATGCTGTTGAATTTAAAAAGATAGTTCCTCAAAGCATTTTGAGGCGCACCTATGTAGCTATGCTTAGAAATAATAAGCATTTAAATATTATGTTTACTAAAAAGTACCAGGGCAACATAACATTAGGTGCGCTTCAATATATGCGCCTCAAATGGGGTGCGCTTCGAAGAATACCAAGTCCAAGCGAAATCGTGGGCACAAGTTAGTATGATATACTAGTACATAGCGACATGGTTTCATACTAATCACAAATAATGCAAATTGCAATATCAAAATAGAATTCACCAAAAAATATTTTTTCTTTCTGGGTTGTACGAAGATCTGAATCCATCACAATAATTAGATGATTGATAACATAAAAAAATACAAAAATACCGAAGAACGCTACAATGACAGAGGGCCGGATAAAAAAATCATACAGAAGAGGGTCTCTCCCGAGGGAACGCGGTGTCTTCTGACGCAGGGCATTTATTATGGAGCATTTGTTTCAAGTTACTCGTAAACAAAGTCAGGTTTAAGGCTCGGAAGTTAATATTATTATTTGACGAAAATGTCAAAAGAGCAACACATTTTCATTTCCTGCCCAATGGCAGCTTATCGCTGGACGTAAGAGGAGAATGTCCAAGAAGCATCATGAATTATGACAGCTATCATCTTATGTCGTCAAGTAGGTCAACTTGTAAAAATAGTTGCTTGATTTTTTTTTATTAATAATATTGTTTTTTTTTTACTTTTAGAAGACAAGTATAAAAAAGAAAATCACAGAAGCATGTAATGGAACGGTAACGTCGTGTTTTTCTAAAAGTACCTACATATTTCTTTCCTAATGTCATTGTGACGAGAGTATTTTTTAAATGCTTGATTTAATGTTATTTATATTTTAATTATTTATCTTTTGTTATTTTTGTGCCTATAAACATCATCCCGGATTTCATGTTAAAAAGTAAGTACCGTCTCTAAAGACCTCAGTATTTGACTCTGTGTAAAATATTAAATATTGTTAACTAAACTTTGAATGTTTACGTTTTTAGGTATGCAGCAAAATGGCTCTTAAATCATCCCCGAATAAAATCCCAAATTCAAATCACGAAAATGATCCAAGCGAAACAGAAAAAGAAGCATCGTCACAAAATAATACACAAAGTACTAGAAGAAAATTCAAACCAATTCAAAAAAAGAACAGAAAGAAAAGTTCAAATAAGTCAACGCCATGTCCAAACCCTCGAACTCAATCTCACGCCAAAATGCCAATGGTACCGATGGTACCACCACCAGTTGTACCTGTGTCAAACATGGCAGCCTTTTACGGTGGTCAAAATTTGATGTATCCTGCTCCTTACCCCCCCTGGGACGAAGCTGCAAGATGGGGGTTCCACAGTCCATTTTACAGATTTCCATTTCAGCCTGTGCCTATGCCAATGCTCCCACCTCCTCCTGTGATGTTCCCTCCTGTTTGCCCATACTCTGGGGGATATCCCTATCCTCCACCGGCTATCGTGCCAATGGTACCACCTGCAGTTGTCATCGAAGAAATCGTACCTATGCCTCAGTGTCACCAGAATCAGAACTACTATTCGCCTGAACAAACCGCGCCAAATGAACTGGGTGAGAGTTATTGCGAGTTTGAAAATGTTAATGATCCACCATTTTATGATGCTAAGGACAGTCTTATTGGACGTCCCAAGGATCATATAGACTTCTGTTTGTCGTTGCCAAAAGATCTGTTTCCCAGTGCGATGATGCTACCGCTGGATCCGAATCTAATTATAGATGGATTTTGCAGATATGGAGAAGTTCTAGATCATGCGCCGTGGATCATGGATTTGGAGTTTGGTGTACCCAGAGAGGCCACAACTCGTACAATAGCTATATACGATGTGAAGTACAATAGTATACATTGCAAAAATACTCCAGACGCGATTCATCCTGGTTTCGAAAGCTGTGATCCAGAGTTTAGAAACTTGTTAACATTTTACTACGACTGTGTGTTTTCAACATGGTACCGAAGTTATATCACATTGAATCAAGACAGATCAGTGGAGAATTTCCAATCGTGGTTGAGTACGCCTATGCAGGAGTTCGGGATGTGTTGGCTCTAACATATAATGCATGATTGCATGGTTTTTAAAATATTAATGAGGTATGTAGATCAATTTTAATAATAATGTGCCTGATTGTAAATGAATTTATTTTTAGTGTTAAGATTTAATTTTCATTCCAATCCAATTTATTCTGATCGTGCTACCTAGACCGATTTTAACGAACCTATTTTAAATAAAATAAATAAGTTATTACAAGCACATAATTAAGTGTTTATATTAAATGTAAAAATGCACGGATTGTTTTTATTAATTACTTTGTAAAGAGGATTGGAACAGATCATCTACGTAATATTTTTGTAATTAATATATTATTTATTACGTCCTTTATATTTTTTCATTTTGTGTTTAGTTACTTTTTGTTCTTTCCTTGATTTCGCTGTTACAAAATCTTACAAAAGTAAAAACACACAAATCAATAATGGGTAAAATAGGTCACACATAAAAATTAACATGCACTAGGAAACCATTTACAAAATTGAAACTGGCAGGCGATAAAATTTAACCACATGGTCCATTCTGCGGTGGTCCAGTTCATCAAAATTATCTATTTGGGGCAGTTAGTGGACTGATCACTCTCGTTACTGACCCAAATATGAACCATAATAGGTTGGTTAGAATTTGTGGTCTGGACCTCTATAGAACAGGCTTTACGGCAAATTAGCCCTCAAATTTAATGAAAATCTATTTAATATTACCCCGATAATTGCGTAGTCATAGTTTCCCCGCATGATGAAATTTAAATGCCTGCTGCATATTTGGATTGTCCCAAATACCTATTTCATCATATTAGCCTTATTCGTGAATATTTGAGAGCGGTAGTCCATTAATATTTCTCAATTTAGCTAATAGATTTATTGGATCATCTCTTACCAAAGGATTTTACTCAAACCAAAATGGTAAGTAAATCACACATACAAATTATTGTAATATATTATTTCCAATGTACATTGTAGCACATCGGACCAAACTTTATTGAAGAAACTACATAACATAATGTAGCTTTATGTAGGTACAGCTATCGGCGTCGATTCCTAGAATAGGCAAGTAATCCATGGTATTTATTTTCAAATAATTCAAGAGACAAAATGAAAACAAAGAGTGTATTCAATATTTAATATAAACAATATTAAATCAACATCATCATAAACTATCCATTCAAACAAAATTGTAATAGAAATATACTATAGACAAACATCACATCAGTGCGCATATACATAAAATGCTTAACTTGTGAGGTCTCGTAAATTTAAAGTTTCATTAAAGCATTTAAATAACACTTCTAACAACAGAAAGTTTACAATAATTACACGAAATAGTCAAGGAAAATGAAATTGTAGGAAATTATTTACAAAAAGCTGGCATAGATATTCAACCAAAACAATGCGTAAATAATACTGTATAAAAAGTTTAAAAAATCACTAAACTAAAAGGCAAGAAATACGTAGGTACGTAAAATACAGTGTATTTACAATATTTTCGTGTCTAAACCTAAATTAATCAAAATAACATTTTTGTAGAAAGGTTACATTAGCTCATACAGTTTACATTATTTACACGAAATATACGAAATGGTACCAAGTGCTTAAGGCGGAAGAATACAATTAATTCTTGCACCGTTCCCCTTTACCAATAAACTTCAACTTACAATAAAATTTCGTCAAGTAAATCAGTAAAAATAAAATACTATCAATGATAACATCGGTCCAACGTTTATTGGTATAGGGCAGGGACACTCTGCAACTTGATTCCCGAATTTCTGACTTCATTTGCCACTCTCGCACCTTCCAGAAACTTGGGACATATGAGAGGGACAAACGGAACCATTAATAAGGACTCTTCAAGAGTATCCCTGGAGAATTGAGTTGATAAAAGGCGTTCTATTGTTCAAGCCGAGCTTATCACCGCTTTGAAGCTTCAAAACGCAAACTACAGTGTCGTTAGGCTCTACAGCTTCGGGTGGACTATTCCAAATGAAACGCCTCAGAAAATGTTGATTCCATTCAACATTTTTGAAGGTAACTTGCAATGCACTTGTTAAGTCCGTTCGTGGTCATATTGAGTCGTTTGTCGCGCCTACGCGCACGTTCATTCAGCACTTCACAAAGTATCTCTTAAGAGTTCACCGTCTGTAATATCCAGGGCACAAATTTTGATATTCTCGTGCAAACGCCGGGCAGATTCGCTTCGCCGCATCCTATACCCCAACTAATGATGCCGGCGAGGAAATACCTTTGGTCTTTCCCTTTTACCTGAAAAAATACAACACGAAATACAACAACGATAACTGTTTCTAGGATAACAAGACATTTCGGCTGAGTGCCTTGATTTGGTTAGACTGGGATGCCTGGATGGGACGACGAGAGTTTTTCAAGACAAATTGAATTGTCAGTTATTTTTGCAAAGATGCTTTCTGTCGAATAAATATATTGTGTATTCTAGGATTACTTTTTATGTCGAGTCAATCTCAAAGTTCAGCACTTTTATAGTTGTAGTTGATGAATGGAATGGTTTGTTGTTCAGTTTAATTTTCTGATGTGATTAACTCAATAAAAATCTTTATCTGCATAACCTTGCTACTCGTTTATTCCATCGCTTTTTCTTGGCTGTAATTTTAGGCATGTGGTTCCGACAGAATGTAATAGGATGGATGGAAGAATGGGAGTGCCATTTTTTCCGTAGATGTTGTAAGATACGACTAAGAAATATGCAAACGTCAAGCCTCCGCACCTGATCAACCAACGTATGGCCAGCATAACTTGTGAAAGCTAAATCCTCCATTTGCCTCCGGTAAATTAGTGGAGACTAAAATGGTCTGATGATGATTATGATAATGATAATGATGACGAAGATGATAATGATTATGACGATGATAATGATAATGATTATTATGACTGTTTACCTGTAGCGGCCCCCCCGAGTCTCCCTGGCAGGAGTCGTGGCCGCCTCTCTCGTGGCCGGCGCACAGGAAGATGTCTGGTATGAACTCGTGCCTGCCAGCCCGGAGGAACATCGACTTGCACCGCTCGTTCGACACTATTGGCACTTGCACCTGGAAGAGCATTAATGAGATTCTGATTAACTTGAAATGGAGAACAATATTCTGAAACTGTTTGAAAAAAAAAAAACAGCTTAGATTAAACTATAAAACCTATTAATATTATAGACAAAATTAAATGATCCCGCCCGAAGCCCGAAAGATGCCATAAACGCATCTTTTGTTTCCTATCTAGCAAAGTATACTTAAGTACCTTAAGGTGGAATTTCAATATTTTTTACTAAAATGTTTTGCTGTCCAAATTAATATACCAACTTTATCGTAAATAACTTTAGTGATTAAATTAAAAAAATACTGCTTCAGGAATGATCCCACGATCATTCATGGGATTGGTTTAGCGTAGTAATGTAATTTACTGTTGTATAAAAACTTATTGTTAAGATAATTCTGTGCTCATTATACCCAATACCTCACTCACCTCTTGTAAAATAGACGGCAGCACCCCTCCCTCAGACAGCCTGCCCCACCCTGTCACAGTGGCGTTTTCCCCCACCAGCAGGTCATCGGTCGCCGGCAGACAGATCGGGGATATATGGGGGGCGAACTGAACCGGCGCTTCTAACTTCACCAGCGCCAGATCGTACTCGTACGTGAAGAAATTGTACTTGGGATGGACGGCCTTCCGTGCCACGCCGCGTTCCACAAACGGGTACTGTTCTGACACTGATGAGAAGTCGTATTCGCCGACTCGTATCCTTATTTGGGAGGTGAGGAGGCTGGAAACAATAAGAAGATGATTAGGAAAAGGAACTGATGATAAAGAGTAGGTACTAAAATAATCCTTGCACATGGAGTCCTCAAATTGTTATTGTCAACCAATCTAGTCCAGAATGTAATCCCGAAAGAAAAATTTGTGGTTGGTTTTCACATCGTAATCTTTATAGAAATACGAGTATAGGCCGTAGGTATCTTTTATTTTAACCCCCAAAACCCTGTCTATGAACTCAACGGTTTAATCCTGTAATGGTTGAATACTAATATTTAGAGCAAACTCTAGCGTAAATCTATTCATTAGTACTGCTTTTCAATGTTAAGTCCAATCGCAAGCTTGAAGCTATACTAACAGACACATTTATACCTACTTGTTTAAGAAATAGGTTCAGTCAAACCAACGAGATCACACGCGATCAGCCGGCGTGCAGTGATGTCGATCAGACTTAAATGTTTAAGGTTTGGCTGAACCTTAAGGAGATTAATCAGCTAATATCTTAGTATCCAGAAAACTTACTCATCAACACAATGGCCAGCCGTAGCGATCCAGCCTTCGTTGATGATGGCGCCCCCACACCGATGCGTGGAGGAAAACCCGAAGTAGGAGTTCCGTCTCACAGACACCTGCCACGGCCACTTGCCGAAGCTGGAGTCCTTGCCGCCCATGATCCGCGTCTCTGGACGCGGCCACATTGATGTTACACCGCACTCTGGAATGGGAGAAAATAATGAGGTGAGTAACCTGGTTGTTTAGACCATAAGGCATTTTGTCAGCTGGAAGTCCTCCTTCAACATAATTTAATTTAAATAACTTCTTCTGCTTTATCGGAGACCGGAGTAGTGTTGAGCCAGAGGTGCGTACCTTTGTGATTTCATCAACATTTAAAAGTTTCTTATTAATCTTACTATCCAAACTATTTAAAATTGCATGAGATCTAGCAATACATGTAAGAATTATAATAGGACCTGGCGCATTAAGCAGACGACGACTCACTAAGCTAAACACTAGGGTATCTATTTATGGTCTAAATATGATGTCGATTGTCTTGCGCTTCTTCTTCTCAGCACTGGCCCATTTATTGTCCCGAAGCATTGGTATGGTTAATACTGGGACGTGTAAAATGGTTTTTTAAAAGCCTATTTACAATAATACTCGTATAAATGAGTTTTATTGTATTTTATTACAATCCAGGTATCAGACTGTACCTAAGGCTGCGGGTGATTCAATTACTTCGCCAACACAAAAAAAAAATCACAAAAATGTTCGTATGCTTACAAAATATAATAAAGAACAGGAATTATCATGTTAAGTACCTAACAGCTTAAAAACCCATACACTCTCAGCCTCTAAATCTTCACTCATCTCACAAGTAAATCACGATCTCAAGCGGGGCAATAAAGGGAAAAATCTTTTCTCGTCACAAAAAGTATGCAATTTGTTTGATGAGACACAAGCTTTATCGTGCAGGGAGATTACACCTCGACCCCATTCAGGCACGGGCATTAGAATTGCCGCAATTTATTTTGAGACGATCATACTCTTTGGTTACGAGTCAAGTGAAAATTGGCTTACAAATTGTTTTACCGTGGCTTACTTTTTGTCGGCTTTTTTGTTTTTATACTCTTTGAGACGTGTGTTGCCAGTGTTGACATATGGATCCGAAACGTGGTCGCTTACTATGGGCCTCATAAGAAGGCTCAAGGTCACCCAAAGGGCGATGGAGCGGGCTATGCTCGGAGTTTCCCTGCGTGATCGAATCAGAAATGAGGAGATCCGTAGGAGAACCAAAGTAACCGACATAGCTCGCAGAATTGCTAAAATCAAGTGGCAGTGGGCGGGGCACATAGCTCGTAGAGACGATGGCCGTTGGGGCAGGAAAGTTCTCGAGTGGCGACCACGGGCTGGAAAACGTAGCGTGGGCAGGCCTCCTACTAGGTGGACCGACGATCTGGTAAAGGTCGCGGGAAGAGCCTGGATGCGGGCAGCGCAGGACCGTTCATTGTGGAAAACCTTGGGGGAGGCCTTTTTCCAGCAGTGGACGTCATTTGGCTGAAACGAACGAACGAACTCTTTGAGAACGTTGACTGGACGCTTTTTTAAGAGCTGGTTATGTTCGAATTATGCGTTAATACCTTAGCCGCTTAAAAAGAGAATAGTTACGTTATTGCATAAGCATTTTGATTGACCAGTGTTTGAATATAGATTCATCATCATCATCATCTCAGCCATAGGACGTTTACTGCTGAATATAGATTAAATCCCTTATTTGCTTCTAGTAAATTGCAGACAGTCGTGCTCCTGCAGTGAAGACTAAGGCTGAGTTGCACCACCTAACTTTGACCGTAACTTTAACGATAAGCGGTGCTTTTTGTGTGGAGTTTGACAGAGTTTTGACGTTTGTTAAAGTTAAAGTAAGATGGTGTAACCCAACCTAAGACTAATATAAGTCCTGGTTCAGATAACCGTGATAATCGCAATAACCACGCGGTTTCTGGGTGGTTCAAATTGGCTGGGCACTCAGGCGGTAACAATGTAATTACCTTTTGATGCAAATGTACGAGTCGCGATTATCGCTGTGTCTGAACCAGGCCTAAATGACCTAATGACGTAATAAACTCACCAGCATTTTCATAAAGGTTACTAAACCTGAGTTTGTCACCTGTCATCCGTTTTGCAATGAAGGAAGTCAAACCTTAACTTTGAACTTATCCTATGTTCTTCTGATTAATTTCGTTGCGGGACCAATGACAGTTTAACTTTCCCCCGGGACAAACTTGACCTTCACTGGTTAGGTTTTTATTGGCGGTCAAGATATAGATCCTGGCTACACAGGATTTATTCACAAAAATAAACTTGCCGTTCCAAATTTCAGATTGCATAAGATTGGTAATTCATTTATGGGAAAATGTATTAAATTCTTTAATAAATTACCACAAACTGTTGTAGAACTACCCATTCATAAATTCAAAGCACAATATGAAAAGTACCTTAATGAAAAAGGGCTACTATAAAGTCGATGATTATTTAAAAGATAAAAATGTTTGGGATACGTTACTGCCTAGCTCGCATAAATATTTATAACTTTGTACATTTTAAAGCATGTAAACCTTTGAAAAAGAGGCTGACAATAGTGACTGAGTTTCTTGCGCTGCTTCTTCTCAGCACTGGCCCATTTATTGTCCTGAAGCAGTGGTAGGGTTAATACTGGGACGTGTAAAAGTGCTTTTTTTAAGCCTATTTCCATAAATAAATGAGTTTTAATGAGTTTTAACAGGTGTTGCAGCGGTGGGAAAGAAAGGTGGTAATAGTTACAAGCATTATTAGTAGCCGCCGCCGTGGTCTGAATCGGCGCTTGCGTCGACTCGTCCGTCTTGACGTACGGATCCTTCGGCTTCTGGTAGTTCTTGTGCGGCTTGCTGGTGGTCGTGGTGAACTTCTTCGTTGGCTTCGGCTTGCCAGCCGGCTTCTCCCAGTTGGAGGGTCGGGGTTTCGTGATAAAGGAGGGCTCTGTCGTCGCCTGCCAGTGGATGGTGTTCAAGTTGCTTGGTCTCGACATTATTTGTGCTGGAATTGTGGGATAAATGAAAGTCAATAATGGATCAATGCAGAAATTCAGAGTACCTACATTGGTATTTTTTTTTAACTTTAACTGTCGAATATGATTTTCTTCGTGGGATTGTTTTAAAGATTATGATTTTTATAATTATGCGATTACCTTCTATGAAAGCAAAATAAGTCAGTTGACTACTGTAAATATTCTTAATAAAACCTATAAAATTAATAACTATCGTTAAAAGCGCCATCTATACTTTTTATTAGGAACTAATAAATTCTCAAACTCACCTGACGAAATGCTATTTTCAGCATGCTGCTCCGACACGGCCATCGGCCGCGCTCCCGATAATATACTAAGACTAGACGAAATCTTATTGTGGGGACTAGTTTCCGCTTCACTCGGCCTATTTACATTTTGGTACTTATTTACACTGTTATACGTTATTTTATTAACTATATCACTATTTTTTTCGCTACTCGATTCTAAATTGTCTAAGGAAGGTAAGTTTATTTCTGGCGGTCTATAACTGTAGGACGTGGGCGCGCCATCTATTGGTTTGGTCATGAACGACGGTCTCTGAGTTTGCCAGTTTGGCCGTGCTATTGTTTGTGTTGACGCCTCCACTTGCTGGTGCGTCGTGCTGTGACCGCTAGGTGGCGGTGTATATGGTTTTTCTGTCATTGTGACTGGACTTTGTGTTTCTGGAAAAGAAAAAATACTATGATGAGAATACTAATAAAATTTATTCCTCTGTAACGTTGAAAAATATAAATATAATTTAAATACAATTTTGTACGATCAATTATTAATTAGAAAATTCTTAATAATTTTGCCTGAAATAACTAATAACATGCGTAAATTATAAAACCATTCCTTCATTTTATCGGTAGATAAAGTTTTAGAACTTAGTCGCCGCAAACGGCAACTGAAAGCGAAGTATCACCTAGTACAAAAACACAAAAGACATTGTAATAAAATTAAAACTCTTCACTTCCAATATTAAAAAGCATTACATAAATACTTTAAATTACGACTAGGCTACGAGAACAAAAGATAAATAATTTCCATTTAAAACATAAACCAATGACTCGTTTTACTTTACCTAACACAACGCGATATCAGTAGGACCTTTAGTGGCAAAATGGTGACGGATGCATAATTTTTACGCGACTGCGCCAGAATGAGGGTTATGTTTTTTATATTAGGTAGGTAAGCAAGTAGTTTCTTCATGACTTTTATGCTCATGACTAGTGTAAAAGTATGTTCTCTAGTAAACGCACACCTTTTGTGCCCATAATCTGCTGTAAGATGAGCTGGTACCTAACCAATTAATTTTGCAATATAGGTACTTAATTAGTAGGTACCTATCCAATTAATTTTGCAATATAATTAGAACACAAAATGTCCTACTTGTTGATAGCTCCCATGAGATAGTGTATGAACACATACCTTCTATACTGATTGGCTTCTCTGGCAGTAAACAGCAAGAGCCGATGATGAATCGGTCTATGCACACTCCTGCATGTTTGCCCCCGACTCGGTTGCATTCTTGCACCCACATGCAGGAGCCTCGCGACCCACCGGCCTCGCATGATTTGCGGGACATTTGGTAACCTGGAAGCAAAAATAGCCTATATAAGCCTGAATAATAGAACTGAAATCTTTTAAAAGTAGTCAATGAAAAAAATGTGCAAGTGCAATGTGAAAAATGACACGATAAATAATGAGTAAAAGAAGTTAGTTTATGACTCTTTTTTAAATACTGCTGAGACGTTTTACGTAATAGATAATTTTTTATTTCCATTTTCTATTTAAAAAAACATGCAACAATTACACCATCATAATAAATTCCGCAAAAAGAGACATCTATCCCTTACATAAAGTATTACGTTAACTGTTTTACGTCACCGCGCCACCGTAATCCAGAGAAGACAACTTTGTCCTCAAATAAGAGATGGCGCTACCAGTTTGCAAAATCGAGTTTTAAGCACTTTCAAAAATTAATACTCTGTGTAAAACAATAATCATTTTATTATGCACTTTTTTTAAACGTCAACGTGCGTGCCGCGTAAAATTAATTGACGTAATAAACTTAATGCGAAGTATTATACTTAACTTACAATATCACGCATTAAAACGTTAATATTATACAGGAAAGTAAATTCCTCGGTCTTAAATTGCTGTTGTAAACAGAAAAATTATTGTCAGCATTAAATTTCAACACAGAATTAGGTGGCATCCCGTTCCCATTAGAGAACTGAGGCAAAATTGTATTTCTGATCACGCGACCGCATTCTAGGCGATCATAAGTGTTTTTCATAACACAGTAAAATGGCTAAACCGTAGGAATCAGAGCGAGACTTTACGAAAATCCGTGCAGTAAGAGGAAAACCTGTCGCGGAGATATGTGGACGAGTATTGTCTGTCTGCAGACTGGCAATTTATGTAATATGTTTGTTGTTTTGGCTAAAAAGTTTGTTGTGAAACGATGCTTTGTGGAGGAGAACAAAATTTTATGGGTTAAAGGTATAGAATAGGCACTTTTCCTTCTGGCTAAATTAAGTTCAAAGGTATAGGCTGGCCGGACCTACTTTTCTTTAAAACTGTTTAGGTTGTATCAAGTAGAAAAACGAAATCATAAGATACGCTGACCCTCAGTAGAATTCTCGTGTATCTTTTATTTAAATTATTTCTAGTCCTTTTAGTCTCCCGGTAGTTACATCACTGTATTTGTTAGCACGAAATTAGTCTAATTTTAGATAAGTACATAAATATTTATCATGTTTACCAGGATCTTTATTCGTGGTCGCTGCGTCGTTAAGTAAAATAACGAAATATAATCTATGCACTATCTATTATACCTACTTATATTATTATAAATGCGAAAGTAACTCTGTCTGTCTGTCTGTCTTGCTTTCACGCCTAAACCACTGAACCGATTTTGATGAAATTTAGCATTGAGATAGTTTGAGTCCCGGGAAAAGACATAGGATTGTTTTTATCCCGGTATTTAAAACAGGGACGTGCGCGATAAAGTTTTTCTGTGACAGACAAAATTCCACGCGGGCGAAGCCGCGGGCAAAAGCTAGTCTGTCATAAACGTAACTTTGTTCATAATAAAAGAAGTAATAGGTACAAACACACGAGAACTTTTGTAATATTGTCCACGTATGATTAATACTTTATTATCCTGTCGTTTCTCGAAAAAACTTCGTATGGGTCGTATATTTTATTAGGAACAAGTCTAACAGAAAACAATTTAAGTTTGCAACAAAAGGATTTATTTGAAAAGTTCTTACCTGAAAATCGAGTTAAAGAGGGAAACTTCGATGGAAGGTCTTACGTTGTTTGGCATATACGAGTATTTACTTAAACGTATGACGTAGGTATGGGTAGGTAATATGAATGTATTGTTTTTATGGATTTTTTCGACAAATGATTTTGCCTACGCGTAAAGAGGAGTGCTTTTTTAAATGTATGTTGATTATTTCACAGGCTAATGGCTTTTGTTTTTTACAATCGACAACACATTAAACTATAACAGACATTAATATATAAACAGTTTTGTTGCAAAACCATTCTAAATACAATTGGATAAGATATCGCAGTGCAAACGCCCGTAATCACAAACGATGCTTGCTTAAATAAAGCAGCATATCGAACGCACAGCGTTGAGAGCTCTGTGATTAGTTCGTGTGTGACCCTGTGCGTCCAGGCGCACTGTGAGACCTCACTGTAATGTTTGTGAATACGGGCGTTAGTCTATAGATGAGTAGTTTTGTTCCGAGTTCTGAACTCTCTTTCTTTCAATCATGTCTCTCTTTGCGAATCCTAAACAAGATACTAATAAAGTACAAAATAGAGAAACTGCGAAAAGCCTTATACCCACAAAACAGCTGTACAACCAAAGATAATACCGGTTTATGTCGTTCTATTACAACATGTCAAAGAGTCTACCATGACCATAACCATGACGTTCAATTACAGTATTGGGGTCCTCATCATCGAGACAAAGGATTCAAAAAGCTTTTCTCATAGGAAAGCCGACACACTGACTCGGTTCATAAGTCTTGAAAGCTCGGAATTGAACGTTTCTCCGATGGCTGGACTTATTGGAATACCTAGGCTGCGAAAGTGATTTGAAAGATGGTAAAAGTGTTACTTTGATTGTATTTCATAGAACAGAAACAGAGGCATTCTTTGTTGAGATCTCATCGTTTGACGCAAGCTTTTTATTGTTTTCAAATTAAATAATATAATGTGATAATTAGGTCTCATTTCTTAGTCTGATAGAATTTAATTTTCTATCCAAATCGACATCATCACGACTCACGAAAAGTCGCTGATTTTAAAACTGGATGTGACCAGTCGAAAACAGGGTAAACTGGTGCTCACTAGCTACAGCTGATGACGATAAAAGCATTCAGAATACCAAGACTTTCTAGTGCCTTTAAACGAACGACAGACAAACAGAACAAAATTTTTATTATTGGGCAATTTGTTCTAACGAAATGGTTTTCGGGAAAATCCCCTCGGGACTTACGGAACATTTCTAGTTAAAAGAAGTAGGTCAATTCTAGAAACTTAAAATATTATATTTTTCGCAAATACATAACTCCAGACGAATCCAAATGCAATCGCTAGTAAAGTTTTAATTCAAAGAAAAGTACAGACTAAGTGCAATTGGTTCCGTCTAAGTCCCGGTCCGTTCCGCAGAGGGACTTGTGTAAATTGAGTCCCCGACTTTAACCCTTTTCTTGGCATTGTGCATTTAAAGATACGTTGACCAAAACAAAAATATGGAGGAGAAACCAAATACTTTTTTCAAATGTTTTTTAAATATAACGTTAGCCCAAATACTACAGATTGTGTTACACAGTATAGAATCGCTACAGGCTGCACAGATTTAACAGTAATATTCAAAATGTCAGACCGTTGACAGGCGTCTACGCACCGGCTGATAATTTTAATTATTTTCGGTGTTTTTTTTGAAGAATATTGGTGATTATTTCTAGTAATATGGATAGTAAATAAATGCTTCTTGATGATAGTGCTGTTTTTTCAACCCAAAACTTGTATAATTATTCTGTACGATGCGGATTGTCCGAATGTATCTCGAAATGCACATTGTCAGATACGTAATGATTTACTTTCAATTTTGAATGTATCTTTAAAGACACACCGCCAGGTTCCCGTTGACTTTATTTTATAGGTTTTTTATAGATTTTATTGCATAAAAAAGGGATTATGTTATTAGTTAATAATATTCAAAGCTGTAAATTATAATTTGTGATGTGAGTTTTAATTCATGTAATAATAATCGTTGTTTTTTGGACAACTTAGTGCATCAGCAACAAAATCAGGCGCGCAATATCCTAGTTTCGGTTCCAAAATCTGGAACCAGGTCGAAAGTCAGTAGCGGTGACACTTCAGCTGATGAATTAGAAACCGCTTTTAGCCTCCTGATCCTCTTGGGTGGTTATCTTCCTACTCCAAACAAGCCAGATCACCCCAAAAAGCGAGCAGCCTATCCAGGCTGCTGCATGTATCTGCTTCTAAAGCTGGTGATTGAAGAATTTCAGCCAGTTCGACTGCTGAATAGTTTCCCAGGGAGTTCCAGAGATCCATTTCCGCTATCTTGCGTTTCCACTGCAAGTTGGGTATCAAATTATCTTCAATCGAAAACGTGAACACAGTTCGGAACCAGTTGGCGTCAATACCCCTCGTATTTTTTTAATGGTCTTGCAGGATTCCCATATGTCCTATCTGCATTTGCATCTCCTGGATGGTAAGAGGGGTCTGCGATTCAGGAGGTACTCCAACGAAGCTGATGGAGTGGTTCTCATACATTCAAATGCAGCTATACTTGCAAGGAGTTACAGACTTTGAAGTGGTTTTTTTACTTTGTTTTCAGTTTTTTGTAAAAGATACTTATTTTTTATTTCTCAAATAAGGTATAGCTTAAGGTTTTGTAGTAATTTTCATTTAAATAACTAATTTCTACTAAAAAATAAACCATATTTTAATTTATTACAAAGCTGGCAATGTGCACTTAAAGATACATACTATATTTCCAAAACTACATACCTAAGATTTTTTTTCGTATTTTTTACATGATTTTTACTCGTCCTAAATCCAATATTTACAGTGTAAATCACAAATATTAACCAAAACCGGCCTTGCCAAGTATAGGGTTAAAACTAAGTTTAAATTGGCCCGGGATCGGGCTCCAAAGGTCGGAATTTCTTCGAAGAGCGTATTTTCTTATGAAAGTTTTTTGCGATGTTAAAAAGCAGTTTGGAAAATTTGGAAATTAGGGTAAGCTGCTATACCGATTGGGCCTATCGTGTTGCAAAGTATTACACAGACTCTATACGTAGCTACTTACTGATTCAGCAATATTAAATCAACAAACTAGAAAAACGAATCTGAATCAAAATTTTAGTTTCACGTTTTAATTAGCATAAAATATCACATACACTACTACAATTCTAAGGCACCGTGTTACTTTAACTTTGACATGTACGTCAAAAATCTGTCAAACTCCATACAAAAAACACCGTTTAGGTAGGTATCGTTAAAGTTACGATCAAAGTTAGGTGGTGCAACTCAGG